AATTGGCCTTCTCATCCTCTAAAGGACCAATGTTTACCTTTGCCACTCTATTACGATTTACATATTTATAGAAATTTTGCTGCCTGTTTTTATATTCTGAGCTAGTTTACTCTCATAATAAGATCATGTGGGAGTCAAGAATGTGTGACATGGTCTTGGGATACCGATGTAAGTGTGCAAAAGTGAGTGTTACCATGGAGCCAACAAACATGAGATGGTAAAAAGCATGCACTGAGGTAGGGGTCTCACACATGTACAACCTACATTACAAAAGGATTAGTGTGGCTTGGATGAGCACTAAAACATAGTTTAAACAATATCACAAAATCCATAGAGAAATTGACTTTAAAACAATGAAAGTAGTATTAGTGAAAGGGATATAAGAAATATTACAATTAAAATAAAAAGTGTGATTGGTTAGTATGTCAAAATGTTACAGAAATGAAAGGATACTGACTCTGGGAGGAGTTATAGTGGGCTGAGTGAAAGGGCCCATCATATGGCATACAGATAGCTCAAGTTGAGAGTTTGTATGACCTTACCAGTGGATGAAACTGCAATGTGGTAGGACAGTTAGTGTATGTAGAAAAAGGCTGAGCCAGGACTCAGGTGGTGTAGGAGTCTATGGTAAGGGAACTCCGGGAAAAATAAAAGGCGGGAAGCATAAGCTGAAGGGAAACCCGGATGAACATTAGAGCTGTATTGTTTGATTCCATGTATATTTTAGCTCAAAGGGGGTAACTGCATATGGAGACCATTACCATTCAATGATACAATCATTCATACAACTGGCAAGGAGGGAAACATATTGATGAAGTATCCTCAAGACGCATACAGATGAAGACAGCTGGAGAAATTTTGAAAAAATACGAAAGTACTGCGGATGCTGTAAATCAGGAACAAAAACAGAAGTTGCTGGAAAAGCTCAGCAGGTCTGGCAGCATCTGTGAAGAGAAAATCAGAGTAAATGTTTCAGGTCCAGTGACCCTTCCTCAGGAGAAATTTTGAGTCTATATATGATGTTATTTTTCTGTTATTGGGTGAGGTGATCGGGAACCGGAGGATTTTCAAAAAAAAAACACAAATTAAAGAACCTGAATCTGGAATATACGGAATTTTAGAATAAATTAAGTTATAAGGTTAACTGAAAAAAAAGTAGACAATATTCTGGTCACCTCAGTCAGGTAACACAACTTGCTGGTTACCTCACAGCCTTGACCATACATCAGGGGTGGGATATATATTTAAGGATTGGCCCCCAAAGGCCACTGCGATCATTAAATTGGTGATACACCCTATTGTTGTATTGTTTGTACTGATGATAGTTATTTTCATTGTAGTTTTAATCTTCATGCTCTTACTATACGTTCTCGTGCGGCTTGTCGCTGATTTGTGTCTGCATCTGCAACTGTAAGATTCGCTGTCCAATATCATCAGGGGTGGATAGTATAGAATGGGCTGAAGGGCTAAACTTGTTGATGATATTCCATAGCTGTATGGCCTTGAATGAGTCCTGTGAACATTCCTGTATGTGCTGAAGCTAGAACAATCAATGTGTTTTTCTGTGCCTGGCTGTTTGTTACACCATATAAGAGAGAGAATTTCATTCCAAGTCTCTGGACTTCACCTCGGACTGGGATCGTAAATGGTTCCAGGAACGACATCAGCCTCCAGACCAGCCATCAATCGAGGGGTCCCCGATGGGCAGAAGGGCGTGAGGCTTCTTGTTTTTTCCTCTCTTTTTCATTCTTTTTATTTACTTAATAAATATTCCTTTACTTTCTCGTCTTTTATTATTACTCAATAAATGTTCATATTTAAGTAAATTGCTGTTGTTGAACCTTCTCTTAACTACATTTAACTGAATCTGAAAGAAACCACTTGGATACACTGTGTGATCAAAGACAACAACATCATGAGTTTTGAAGACCTGTGCAAGTTATCCCGATGGTGACCTGAAAATCAAGCCTTCGAAGGTAAGGTAGAGACCAAACGATGGAACAAAACTCACCCTGAGAGGAAAGCCTAATCTGAGAGCCGAGTGCAATGGGAAGAATGAAGATCTGCAGTTCCAAACGGCGGACATGAAGTGAAATCCATACGTCTAAGCTGAAATAAGTCTAAAGCTTAAGTTTGGTAACCCACACCCCAGAAGAGATTTGCAGCGTTTCACAGGGTCACAAACCCATTGACTGCTGAACAGATCCTACAAGATGTTTCAGGAGTTCTTGGATGTCTTCCTGGTAAACGTCATCAGATGAGAATGGGATGTGAAAAAAAGACAAGCTGGAGGAGCTGGGAAGGAAAGGAGTATTCCAGAATGTAGCCCATTCTACAGCCTGGAATAACAGTGTGCTAAGCAGTGACAGAAACCTGGGAAACTGGGACTGTGGATCCAAAGGATCTCAGTAAGGCTTGGAAGAGGTCTCAGTACACCATGCCAAACATTGCATTTTGCCACATCTTGACAAAGCAAATATTGTACTACCTTCGAAAGCAAGGATTTTGTTTTTCATTCATGGAACAAGGGCTTTGCTGGCTGGGCTAATGGATGTGTATTAACTATCCCTAATTGCCCTTGAGAAGGTGGGGGTGAGCTACCTCCCCGAACTGCTGCAGTCCACCTGTTGTAGGTTGACCCCCAATGCTGTTAGGGAGGGAATTCCAGCGTTTTGACCTAATGACATTTAGGAACAGTGATATATGTAATAAACCGTGGAACATAATGTAAGTTTCTAACTGCTTCAAGAGGTAGTGATGAAAGGATGGTCTGAAAGCATTAAGGTCAAACCTGGTGCTATAAGAGAGCACTGGGCAGAAAAAATAAGTGACAGCACAGATGGCATATTGTATAAAGCAATTAAAGTAATTCTTCATAAGGAGGTGATAAAAGAAATGCTGAAGTGAATCAATACAAGTCATAGGGTCATAGAGATCTACAGCACAGAAAAAGGCCATTCAGCCCATCTTGTCCATGTCAGTCAAAAACAACCACCAACTGTTCTCATCCCAAGCCAGGAAATAGGGGACAGTACAGCTACATGGAGAGCGGAGATGTACAAAGTGACCTGAGTGCCCCTGCCAATAAGTCACTGAAGGTTACAGCGTACAAAGGGGGCAGTGGCAGGGGAGCAATAAGACCATAACAAATAGGAGCAGAAGTAGGCCATTCAGCCCATCAAGTCTGCTCCATCATTCAAGGAGATCATGGTTGATCTGATAATCCTCAACTCCACTTTCCTGCCTTTTCCTTATAACCCTTGATTCCCCTTACTGATTGAAAATCTGTCCATCTCAGTCTTGAACATACTTAATCACCCAGCTCAAGAGCTCTCTGAGGTAAAGAGTTCCACAGATTCACTCCCCTATGAGAAAAGAAATTCCTCCTCATCTCTGTCTTAAATGTGTGACCCTTTACTCTGAGATGATGCCCTCTGGTCCCACAGGGGAAACAACTTCTCCACATCTACGCTGTCAAGTCCTGTAAGAACCTTGTATGTTTCAATAAGGTTTGCCTCTCACTCTTCTATACTCCAATGAGCACAGACCCAACTGACTCAACTTCTCTTCATAAGAAAATCTGTTCATACCCAGGATCAACCTAGTGAACCTTCTCCAGACTGCCCCGATGCCAGTGTATCTTTCCTTAGATGAGGAACCCAAAACTGTTTGCACTATTCGGGCTGTGGTCTGACTAGTGCCTTGTATAGTTTTACACTCCATTCCCTTTGAAATAAAGGCCAACATTCCATTCACATTCCCTAAAATGCACTCAATTCAGATGCTAAATATCTGTGATCCATGCACAAAGATTCTCCAAACTGAAACAAAAATAGAAATTGCTGGAGAAACTCAGCTGGTCTGGCAGCAACTGTGGCAAAAGAAAAACAGAGTTAACATTTGGAGTCTGGTGACTTCTAATCAGAAATGCCCAAATCCCTCTGTACTGTAGCCTTCTGCAGTCTTTTCCCATTTAAATAATATTCAGCTCCTCTTTTCTTCCTGCCAAGTGTATAGCCTCACATTTCCCACATTATATTCCATCTGCCAAGGTTTTGTTCACTCACTCAACCTGTCTAAATTCTTTGTGTCATCCTCATTACTTACCTTCCCATCTATTTTTGTGTCATCCACAAACTTGGTTAGAGTACATTCACTTTCCTCAACCAAGTCGTTGTTCTGCACATATTTTCTTTCTCCATTTTATAACTTATTCCTAAAATCTGCAATGCTGAACTTTTTACTTCTCTAGTTTTCTAAGAACTGTAACTGAAAAGGCTGTATCTAGGGATCTTTGTACCTAAGATGGTGCCTTAAACTGTGACTTGTAAACTTTTCACTGCACTCATTTGAGTACATGTGAGCTAATTCAATTCAATTCAGGTCATAAATCTATATTGTAAATAACTGAGCTCCAGCACTGATCCCTGTGTCATTCCGTTTATTGTAGGTTGCCATCCCGAAAATGTCCTCTTTATCCCAACTCTCTGTCTCCTATAAGTTAACAATCCTTTATCTATGTTGACATACTGCCTCCAGCACCATGGGCTCTTATCTTATTAAGTAGCCTAACATGTGGTACCTTCTGAAAATCTAAATATATTAAATCCAGTGCTTCCCCTTCATCTATCCTGTGTTACCACTTCAAAGAATTCCAGTAAGTTTGTAAGGCCTGATTTCCCCTTTGTAGTGACTCTGCCCTCATTCACAACTGCTATCCTCTAGACTCACCACATCACCTTCCCCTCTGTCCTGCAGTTCCACAGATACTCGATTTGTTCATAGTCACAACATCGCTAGCTCTCAGCTGGGGGGGGGGGGTGTCACATGAATCAGAAGGAGGTGCTAGCCCCCATTCTGTTCACCCCATTTCCCACTCTACCCCCCAGCTCCCAGAGGATAATGGGATAGTGTCTGTGGGCACTATATGGTTTGTAGACAACAGACAGCCCCAGTGATATGGCAGAGGTCTCTCATTACCTGATTGATGGCATACACACCTTGGCAGGTGGGCAGGTTGTCCCAAATTCCATCATCCGGGCACAGTGTTACCATGTTTTCCATGTCCGGGTAACGGATCTGGAACCCCCGGTGGCAGCTAACAGTCAGCTGGTCACCAGGCCGGTAGGTGTTGTTGTACACATCAGCATCTTCAATGTATGGCACAGGGCACACTGTAACTTCAAGGGAAGAAACAGATGGTCAGAATCATGGAAGCAAAGGCCTTGCTCACCCTGGCCTTCCATTCTCTCCGAGGTGTTCAGCCCCTCTCCTGATAGCTCAGCTTCAAGCTGGGCAACAAACTCTTACACAGCAGGGCAGGTTCCGGCCTGGGCAGTGAAAGATGCCAGGTTGTGCAGGGATCACAGCGAACAGAAACCGAGTGTCAACAATAGGGGCCTCTAGGATATAGCAGGCTGAGCGGAGCGAAAGAGAGGGAAAGAAAACTGAGACAGAATCCAGTGAAAGAGAGAGACAGAGACATTGGGGAGGTAAAGAGCTAAAAGGTGTACTTGTGTTAAGTCCATTCAAAGATGCACCAAACATGGTTTGGTCTAATGTTTGCAAAAGATCTATATGTGTGATAGCATGCGTATGTACGGCGTGTCAGTCTGTATTTTGGTGCATATGTAGTCTGTATGTAGGTCGGTGCATAGTTATGTAGGGGAAAGCATAGGGATTCGTGCAAATGTATATGTAACTGTGTGTGGGTGTGTACTTACATGTGTGAGTGTGCAGAGGTGTGGTTAGGTGACTGTGTAGTTCCGTATGGAGGTGCATGTGTAGATGTGTGTGTAGGTATCTATATAATGTTTGTACAGATGTACATATAGCTGTATGTTTACTTTGTACGTAGCTCTGTGTGTAACACACACGCACACACACATAGAGACACAGAGACACGCACGCACACACACACACACACACACACACACAGGAAAATACAAATAATATCCCAGAATTAGAGGGACACGGGTGTATGAGGAATTAATGTAAATTAGTCTCGGTAAGAAGGTTGTGCTGGAAAAATAGGACTGAAAGTTGATAACCCCCCAGGACTTAATATACCTCATCTCACAGTGTCAAAAGGGGTAGCCATGGAGATCATGGATTCATTGATGGTCATCATCTAAAGTTTTAAAGATTCTGGAATGGTTCCTGCAGATTGGAAAGTATCAAATATCATTACATTATTTCAGAAGGGAATGGGAGAGAATATGAGGAACTGTTAGCCCCAGAAGTAGGGAAGATGCTAGAATCTATTATAAATAATCTAATAAATAGACACATGGATAATAACGATCCGATTGGTGTGTAGTCAGCATGGCTTTGTAAATGGGAATTTGTGATGGACGACACAGTTGAATTTGTTTCAGGATGTTACAAACAGAATTGATAAAGGGAAGTCAATGGGTATAGTATAAATGGATTTTTGTAACATTTTTGACGAAGGCTTCCCAAAAAAATTAAAGCACATTGGGTAGGAGGTAATATACTGATATGGGGTTAAGGATTGGCAAACAGGCGACAAACAGAGCGTAGGAATAAACAGTTATTCTCATGTTGGCAGGTGGGAACAAATGGGTTACCACAAGGATCAGTATTTGGGCCCCAGCTGTTCACAATATGTATCAATGGTTTGGAGCTGGGAATCAAGTGTAATCTTTCCATGTTTTAGGAAAATACTACACTGAATGGGAATGTGTGTCATGAGAAAGATGGAAAGCAGCTTCAGGAGAATTTGGCCAGACTTAGTGAATGGAGAAGAACATAGCAGATAGAATCTCATGTGGAAAAATGCTAGATAGAAAGAACGGATGTTCTGAATATTTTTTAAATGCTGGGAGTTTGGAAAGTGGAGATGTACGAAGAGAAATGAGTGTCCCTGTCAACAAATTACTGAAGGCGAACGTGCTAGTATAGCATACAAAGGGAGGCAGTGACAGAGTTGCAATAAGACCATACAATGTGGTAGCAGGAGTAGGCTAATCAGCCCATCAAACTGCTCCACCATTCAATCAGGTCATGATTTGGTAATCTTCAACTCCACTTTCCTGCCTTTACCCTATAGCCTTGATCCTCTTACTGATTAAAAATCTGTCTATCTCCACCTTGAATAAACCTAATGACTAAGCCTCTATAGTCTTCTGTGGGAAAGGATTCCACAGACTCACAACCCTCTGAGAAAAAAAGATTCCTCCTCATCTCTGCCTTAAATACACAACCTCTCATTCAAATCCCCAACTAATGATCGAGGGACACGTGTTCAAATCTCACCATGGCCATGAAAATGGAATTCAATAAAACTCTGGAATTTAGGGAGAGCCCAGCCTAATGGTGATCACATAACCACTATCCAATGCTGTAACTGCCCATCTGATTCATTAATGTCCTTTGAGGAAGGAAATTTGCTGTCCTTACCTGCTCTGGTGAACAAGCAACTCCAGACCCACAGCAATATGGTTGACTCTTAAGTGAAATGGTCCTAGCAAGCCATCAGATCAAGGGGCAATTAGGGATGGGCAATAATGCTGACCCAGCCAGCAATAACCAGAGCTTATGAATGAATAAAAAGCAATTAGCAAGGCTAATGGAATGTTAGCCTTTATTGCAAAGAGTTTGAGTAGAACAGTAGTGAAGCCCTGCTTCAAGTCTATAACAGCTTGGTTCGACTGCACCCAGACTACACTGTGCAGGGTCATTCCCCTTATCTCAGGAAAGACACTGTTGCCGCAGGGTCCAGCGAAAGGTTCACCAGGATTGTTCGGGAACTGTCCTATGACCATCCTACGAAGACAGATTGGGCAAACTGGGCCTATATTCTCTCAAGTTTTGAAGAATGAAAGATGATCGCAATGAAATCGACAAAATAATCAAAGGAATAGACAGGGTTAATGTAGGGAAGTTGTTTTCCTGTTGTGGGGGGGGGGGAGCGGTCTAGAACTACAGGCACAGTTTAAAACTAGGGTGGAAGCTGCTTAAATCTGAGATGAGAATTTTTTTTTAACTTGGAGTTGTGTGAACTTTTCGAATTCCCTACCCCCGAGGACTGTGGAAGCTCAGTCTTTGAGCTTGTTTAAAAAGTACAGGTTGATAGATTTCTGATTACTAGTGGCTTACGGGATTATGGGGATGGGATGGGTGAAAGGCATTGAAGTGTTTGATCAGCCAGGACCATGTTGAATAGTAGGGTGGGCTTGATGGGCTGAATGGCCTACTCTTGTTCCCATGTTCTGACTAACTGCACATCATGAGATGTGGGTGTCGCTGGCTGGCCAGCATTTCTTGCCCATCTCTAGTTGCCCCTTGAGAAGGTGGTGGTGAGCTGCATTCTTGAACCGCTGCATTCTTCCTGCTGTGGGTCCACCACTGCTGAATGGTCTCCTCCAGCACGAGGGGTCGCCTGATGGTCTCTGGTACCTCATCTGGTGTACACAGGGACACAGACAGACAGACAGACACACACACACACATGCACACACGCACGCACACATACACCCGCACACACGCACACGCACACACACACGCACACACACGCACACACATGCACATACACATACAC